ATAAGTATCAGAAGGCGTTTGAAGAAATCAAGAAAATTTTATCGTCGTCAGTAGCGCACTACGATCCAAAAGCAAAATTCGCATTGGCTTCAGATGCTAGTGACTATGGTATAGGATATACAGTGGCCTCTAGCAGCTGTTAATACACTACTTATTTTTTGAAACTGCTGCGCATCTATTGTTCTGTATAAATAATTATTTACTGTAATCCAGTTATATCTATCTATCTACATAAATATAATAACGGAAACATGAAAACCGTCGCAGATGCTTCGCGTTCGCTACTACAGACAAAAAAGAACTATAGCCAAATCGAAAAAGAGGCGTTAATAATAATATTTGCAGTGTAAAAATTTAATAAATTTATACATGGAAGCAGTTTCATTTACAAACGGACCACAGACCTCTATTATCAATTTTTTTTCCATGTTGTATCTTTCTGAAGCATATTTGCAAATACATGTTGAAGAAAACTGTTCAGAGTTAATTATAAATACGCACAACGGATTGCATAAGTTCTAACGATTTTTTTGGGGGGGGGATAAAAGTTTCTCTGGCTATATTTCAACAAGCTATGGATACTATGTTGCAGACTGTGATGTCGCAGTTGCTTATCTGGATGATATATTAATTAAAAGTGTATCTAAGGAACAACATATTGGATATGTGAAAAGCCTTTTTGAAAAAATACGAGATTACGGGTTCAAACTCACTGAGGAAAAGTGCGAACTGTTTTTGCCTAAAATCAAGTATTTAGAACAATTCATTGATAAAAATGGTCGTCAACTAGATTTGTTAAGAGCAAATGCAATTAAAATTATGCCTCCTCTAACAAATGTTACAAAGGTTACAAGCATTTCTAGGACTAACAAACTATTATCAAATCTATATATGCAGAACTTGAGAGCTCCACTGAACAATTTGCTTAAAAAAGTATAAAATGGAATGGAACTGATAAGTGTCAGAAAACGTTTGAAGAAATCAAGAAAATACTAACATTAGACTTATCATTAGCGCATTACGATCCAAAAGCAGAAATCGTATTGGCTTCAGATGCTAGTGACTATGGTATAGGAGCGGTAATTCTACATAAATATGATAATGGTAACATGAAAACCGTCGCACATGCTTCTGTACCGACCTAAAAAAAATCAGCTAGATCGAAAAAGAGGCGTTAGCAATAATATCTGCAGTGAAAAATAATTCACAAATTCATACACGGAAGGAGTTTTCATTTACAGACGGACCCTAGACCTCTATTATCAATTTACGGTTCGAAAAAGGAATTGGGAGACTCGAACTTTCCGTTTTTGCTTAAATATCTTTCAACTTTTCGTTGTATTTCATTTATTACTGCATCTTTTAAACTTTCAAGTCGCATAATGTCCCTTCATGCAAGCTTATTTATTATCAAGATTTCTGTTGTCTAAAATTCTTTCTTTCCATATTATAAAAGTACGGGTATGGTACTTGTCAGATTGTCTATTAATGGTAACCTTAGCCGTTTCCTTATGAGGAAACATTCGCCATTCATTAACCGAACCGTTAGTACTGCTGTTGTTTGAAAATTTCTAAAATCTTTCTCTCAAAACAATTTTTCAGGAAAATAGGTTTCTCAGGTCCAGTAGCTGTTAATGTTCTTTCCTTTATTGGCGGAGGTTTCCTTCCTTGACTTTTGTTTGGGCGAATGACTGGCAGAATGCGTCCATCACTTCTTTATACTCTTTCCGTATTCACTTTTTGTTTTATACGGTTTTTACCTATTGTTGAATTTATAGGGGTTCAAACTAGGAATGTTCCAGTTCAAGTGACTATCCAAAATGTCTGAGCGGGTTTATTCCAGTATCAGATTTTTTTTTTTTTTTTACCCCACGGTCCTTAGTGACTCGCGACTCGCGGGACGAATTTCTAACTTTAAACGCATTATATTCTTATCACCAAAGCAATGACAGACATATTCGTTCTATATTTTTTTATGTTTATACTTAGTTGACATGTGGAAGCACAATACAGTAATTAGGAAATCATAATGGTTTCGGCTGCTCATACAGCCTTCGTCAGAGCTTGATATAGAATATTCCTTTTAGAACATTTGAATCTTCGTACCTGCAAAAAACGGAGTGTCAAAACGACGGTTTTCTCCTTGACACGGCTGTTATTTTAACTACCTTCATTCCTCGGCAATGTTTATTGTTTTAAAAACCGATGATTAGAGTTGTAATAAAACCTAAGCATATGAAAGTGAATTTATAAATTTTCTTTGTTCTTGAGAATTGACAAGAAATATAATAAACGCTGTTTATTTATTAGATTGCTTATTGGAATGTTTGGCAAAATATCGGCTAATTGCCATTCGATTCGAATTTTATAAAATAGTAAAAAATTAGGATTTCCTTATAGTTGGTTCACATATTCATAATTTATTAAATGTTTATAAATATATGAATAAAAATTGTTTTCATTTTTATTTCTTTATAAACTGTAACTAAGGTTTATTCAGCATAGTTACGGCTTGGCTAAGTGTATACTGAAGAAGCACAACGTACTAGAACAGGTTCAGTCATCTTAACAGTGGGCATGCTCAGAAACGAGCAGCTCACCATTTATATATATATATATATATATATAGGGAAAGGCTATAGTAGTTCCAATGAGAGAAAAGTGTTTATATTAAAAAGAAGAGACAAATCGCAAACGTTTTTGATTGTAATGTGGATTTTTTTTTTTTTATATATTACGCTTTATTTTCCATAACTTTGCTACACGAGTTTCCGGTCTCGCGACCTTCATCAGATATGGATATTTCCAATATTATTAAAAGGAATTAATTTTTCTTTTGTTTTTCGATGTTAAATATTCTTGATATTATACATTCTCTTTTTTATGTGTTAGTGACTCAAATGTCTTCCTTGAACTGGTAGTGAAAAGTTCTCCGTGAAGGGTAATAAGACAATTAAAACTGGTCCGAGAAAGGGTGAGAAAGATATCTATATTCTTATCTATTAATGATCCCTGTGTGTTCTTAGATCAATTTCCATTTTTTTGTGTTTTTGTCAGCATGCGTACGCATACGTATATTCCCTCTCCATACATACATACTGTCTTATTATAAGGAATTAGCATACACCTATGTACACGTATACATACACACACACACATACATATATTTAACTTCCTAATGATTCTATATCACCAGAAGAGTCCATTATGTAGAGATGGGCATCTTTTCTACTCAACTATATAATGGATTCTTCTGGTGACGTAAAATCATTAGGAATTTAATAAATTAACCAGAACACTTGTTCTGAATGCGACACAGGGTCTTTTTTTAACGCGAGGGTCCCATACGTACATGGGACCAAATTCCAAAAATGGTCCATTTTCTTTAGAAGTTAATATATAATAATATTAAACGTGAACAACAAAACAGTAGACCAACATAAATTTTGATACTCTTGAAGTACAATGCAAATTTCAAAATTACTTAAATACTGCAGATGAGGGAAATATTGTTTATTTTAAGGAATCCCGGATTTGTCTAACACTTCAACATTTTATTCCGAAAAGTGTGTTTCAATAGTCATTTAGTAAAGACGTCTAGAAGACCTCCTGTCATTTAAAAAGAATGCATACAAGACAATCGTGAAAGAATAAAACAAACATAATATTTTTATTAAAAAGCATTTATTTATTCAATAGAATGAATGCATATTTACAATTTCCGTAGAAAAATAAATAAATTATCACTAAGTTAATTAATTAGTTTGGTGGGGACAATGAAGAATAGATACAATATGATACAGCTGAAAGAATAAGTTGGTAGATCAGAAGAATTATAGCGAGTATTGCCCGTTCACACATAGTAGTAAGTAGCCACACTTTTATAACACACTTGCACACACAAAATGATGATAAAGGCAGTGAAAGATCAGAGTGGAGATCATCTGAACACAGGAGACGCTCAGATGAGCCTCAGTTCTACTTACAATTGAGAGTTGCGTCCATCGAAAAATTTCTATGCGGCCATTAGACTCTCCAAAAAATTTCCCGCCGCAAAATTTCTTTTATTTGGTACTGTACATTGACTTATTTAATGAGCTTAACTGAAAGCTAAAATAGTAGAGTGATATAAAAGAAGACTTCTTTACATTAAAAAAACTGAAGAACACTATTAAAGATAGGGTTGCCAACTGTCAATAAAAGACACAAAGAAAAAAATTATATATAAATAGTAATGTTTAATTTAATTTAATTTCTGGGGTTAAACAATATAACTGAAAAATACTTTCTTTACTTTCCAAATTCAACAAAGGGCAAGGACAGAAAGAATTAAATAAAGGACTGTCTTCCCCAATAAAGGACAACTGACAACCCTAATTAAATAAGTGAAAGAAAAAAGGTAAAAACATCTTTTGATGTAATGGAAAGAAGTCTGTTGGACATATTATGGGATACTGTCAGAGCAGCTGATTTTTTTCATTATTTTTTCATATATTTTATACAGCTCGAATATTCCATTTTAGCATTAAAACGAGCCCAGAAATTATATCCATATAGCTGTGAGCGTGTTATTTTTTATTCGTCCTACTTTGAATTTAACGTAAGGTATTTTCAATATACGACTTTAAAATCGATTTTTCCACATACATTCCTTTTTGTTAGTAGTAATAGTCATTACATAAACTAATTCTTTTTCCCCTAGCTCGTGAATGTTTTGCTTTATTTTGCATTGTTTTATTCAATATCTTTAATAAAGTACCGTTTTTTTATGAAATATCAGTGTCGATTTTGCTTCATGCAAGTTAATTCATGAAGCCATTATTTGACTCTATTATGACATATATGTATATAATCTTTTTTTATAATCTTTTACTTTCATGGGGCTCAGCTATATAATTGTTTTATAAGATTATTTTTTGTTGACGTATCTCTTGGTATTTTTTGACATCGAAGTTCGTTTGCAGTTGTCGTTACTGCCTTTATAGCTACGATTTTGTTTGTTAAAATGGCGTTGTCACTGGGACACGGCCAGTGAGGCCACGGTATAGATTGTATGTCCATTTCTCTTGTTCTACGTCCTGTGTGAAAGGGTTTTGTTTATCCCACGCACCTCGGTCTACCGGAACCCGGAACTTTGGCTCCATGGTTCTGTAGGGCCCGTGGCGCCGATCTGGGAAGAGTGAGTGGTGATATCAATAGAACCGTTTTCTTTTTGTTTTGATTTAAAAAAAAAAAAATCAATAACAGTTACACCGATGTCGACCATGGTCCAGATACAAAATTATCCGGGCGTTCTTTCGTAGATCGGCCAACTGTTTATTCTTTACTTCAGTCTACGTTCATCTGTCGAAAGATCGAGAAGAACGGAACATCGCCGGTCATCATGGACTTTCAAGCAAGCAATGAATTCTGAAATAATAATAATAAAATAAACGAATTAATTTAGCCCGACATTGAATTTATATTGACGAAAATGGTATCCACTGATACCACGTTGTTGACATTTTAAATCATTCAATTATATCCTTTGTTATTGTCTGAAAATACATTTAACTATATTCTAATCTCAAGGCATAATGCGAGGGAAATTAAAGTAAAAAGATTGTATTGCGTCATTCTTATAGATGTAGAGGGTCTGGCTTGAAAATCAGTATTCAGAATGCAAGCTTTTACCTGGGCGAGATTGAACACTGACGACTGACAGGAAGCAATTGTTCTTTTAAATAAGTTTTATTTAAAAATGATTGACATTCACTACCATCAAGATAAAGTCGAAAGCTTATACACGGTCTTGACTTCGGATATCTTTTGCATTTGCTAGGCTATTTGCCGTTTGGAAAAGACGATATATAAATTGTATGTCTATCCTTTTTAATATATATTACATACACATACTGGGTGTCCATAAAGTTCGTGTGCATTTTAAAAAATTATAACTTTATTTGTATTTGCGATAGAAATAATTTGTAAAAAGGATTAGAAAGAAGTAAATCTATACTTTTTAAGGTTTTATTGAAATTTTATTTAAGTTTCCACACGTCCTCCATCATTAGCAATACAAAGGGTAATACGATTTTGCAGTTCACGGAAAAAATTTGCCAACTGATGTACAGTAATGCCTGAAATCACATTAGTTATTTTAGCTATACTTAAAACTAGATACATTAAACTTTATAACATTTTTTACAGATTATTTCTATCGCAAATACAAATAAAGTTATAAATTTTTTAAAGTGCACACGAACTTTATGGACGCCATATATATGTAAAGAAATTTTTATGTTTATACATTCTTTTTATAGAAAAAATGTCTTAAAATAATTGTCAGACTTTGTCCATTTCATATATATAAATCCTAATATGCGATTATGCTGTTTTAATGTCAACGTCGGAATATTAAAACAGCATAATCGCATATTAGGATTTTTGTTTGTTTTTTCAGTATATTTTTCTTCATACTGTCGGATCTATATCCATATATTTACTTTTATATATATATATATATATATATATATATATAAAATGTTCAAATGAACTTAATAAATAAATAATAATAATAATGTTTAATAAGAGCTACTTATTGATGATAGCAGTCATAATTTAAATATTTGTTGATTTAAAATAGTATTACTGACCTTCGAAATCAATTCTTCCGTCGCCATTAATGTCAACTTCTGCGATCATTTCGTCAACTGTAAGGAAAAAGAAATCATAAATTATTATTCCTGTGTAGATTAAACGCACACATATACACATACATAATTTACTATTAGTTATTTACTAAGATTCTCACAAGTCCATAAGTATGTGTCGCCAAATAAAGATTGAACTCACTATTAGCAATAGTAATCGTTATTGGTCATTTCCTTATAAGGAAACATTAGGCATTCGCTGATCGAACAGTTAGCGTTACTGTAGTTTGAAATTTATAAAATCTTTCTCAGGAAAATAAGCTTCTCAAGCCCACTAAATTTCATCGCCCCTTCTAGTACTGAATAATGTTACCTTCCTAACCTTTTAAGATAGTGTGGAATGTCAATATCTTGATTATATTATTATTTTCCTGTGCTATCCATTTTAGTTGCTGCCACTATTTTTATCTTTAAGCAATGTGGTCCTTGCAATTAGGTTCTTTGTGCTTCTGTAACTCCAGTCTATAAGATCTGATGAAGGATTGTTTTCTTTAAAACCTAAAGTTTTCATTCACTTGAAGCCATTTTTAACCATTGATCTAATAAAATAGTCAAACAGATCAGCTCGTAAAACCATTATCCCACGTAGTGGCGCCTTTTTATATGAAATGATATTAGCGTCAATATAATTTTTCCCTCCTCTTCTTTATATCTTTTATACATTCTCAAAGATGTTTTTTTGTTTAGTGGGAGCTGCAATAGTTATAAGCAGACATGTCTTTTCAATAAGATTTGTCTGGATTTCTCTATCAGTCCGAACGCTGGAATCCCAGAGGATGGTAATATCATTTTGTATAACTTGTGGCGGCATATCTTCCCACCAATTCTCTTTGCGAGGAAGGTTGAATGCGCGGCATATTGAAAAATTATTATAAGTATTTGTACAAATGTTGCTTGTCTTCTACTGAAAAACGGCTGTACTGGTAATGAACGCGTCAAAACGAATGAAACGCGTTCAAAAATGTCTAAACTGTCAACTATATACAATCGCTTCCTCGGATCAATGATTAAAAATAGTTTCGAGCGAATGAAACCTTTAGGTCTTGGAGAGGACGGACCTTCTACGAATCACATGGAATGGCGCTACAGAATCGCAAACAAATAACTGTACCAAATAACAGAAACCACATTACTTTCAACGACAGCAGTAATTGGAATCGATATCACATGTAACACGAAGAGAAATTATGACATAATAAAGATGTTGACGTTCCACACTACTTCAAACAAAAGCTTAGAAAGGAAACCTCCATCAATACGAAAAAAGTGATAACAGAGAGAGAGAGAGAGAGAGAGAGATAGAAAGAGAGAGAGAGAAAATACCGAGTAAAAGAAAAAGAGAGAGAGAATATTGAGCAAAACATATAAAGAGACAAAGAATGTTGAGTGAAAAAAATAGAAAAAGAGAATGTTGAACGAGAGAGAGAGAGAGAGAGAGAGAGAGAAACAGATTTGTTGAGCGAAAGGAATATATAGAGAGAGACTGCTGAGTAAAAGAAATAGAATATTGAGTGAAATATATAATTTTTACATAATGAACAAAAACAACTTACTCACTACAAAGATGCATTTTTGTTTCGATGCAGCTTCACCAGTCGAGATGCAGCCGTATCGAACAAGAATGCATCGTTGTAGTGAATAAGTTGTTTTTGTCCGTATGTAAAAATTATAATAAATAATTATTGGTCTACTTTTGATATTGAGCCCTCTTTTTGAATTAATGATGTGAACGTTAGAATTTATATTATTTTCCTTCTCATTACATTCGTGTATATATATATATATATATATATATATATATATATATATAAGAGAGAGAGAGAAATAGGTAAACGCATGCGCGAATTCGGGTAGTGCAAACTTGTGTAAATCAACGGAAATGTACCTTCTTCTTCTGTTATGTCTTCGCCGAGGCACTCGAGAACGTTACGTAAATCGTTGGCGGAGATGTAACCCTGCCCTCGTCTGTCAAAATACTGCAACAGAAAATGCATACATTTTTAAAACAAGCCAATCAACACCGAATGTTTTATATATATAAAAACTTATAAAAATAACGGAAACGAGAAAATAACCAGTCTTATATCTCCTGATGAGTGAACAAAGCGATTGCTGAGGGTCCATTTACAATACTCTAGGGTCGAGATTTGTCACTTAGCTGATTGATGTTATATTCAACATCTCGACTCCAGAGTATCATAGACGAACCCTCAGCAATCGCGTCGTCCGCTCATCAGGAGATACAAGCAATTGACTGGTATATATATATATATATATATATATATATATATATATATATATATATATATATATGGGAAAAGGTTGATATACCGTAATATATATTGTATACAGTGAAATTAATAACAACGAAACTAAACTGAAAAGTCAGATTGGCCTGTCAATTTAAGCCGGTTGTTATTGATTACAATATTTAAGAAAAAAAAAGTGGGATAGTAACTCAAATACGTCTACCCACTGAAATAATAAATATATATATATAATCTTATTATTGATCCCTTTATGTTTCATCGATATATAGATTAAAAATATAAACTTGCAAAATTTGGTAAAATTCATAAAACTCTTGACACATCGTAAGAGTAACATATAGTCTACTATAATAATTTATACATATTGTATAAAATATCCTGATATATATAATTTATTCGGAAACCTCGAGGTGGTGTACTGGTTAGCAAGCTTATCTCGCTAGAACAATTACGACTGAGTAGCGAGTTCGATCCTCACTGGATACCCCCTACTTTCGGTATTGTGCTACATCTAAGCTACGGTTGGAAAGTCACTATATATAATTTATTCGAAAATTATAGCATAAATATGTTATAAAATCACTAGAAAAATAGCCATTTTGTTTCAACACTCCTGGTGACTTGTCACGTGATGGTGAAGGATGGGTTCTACATTCAACACCAGCACTTGATAAAGCACCAGAAGGGTTGAAACAAAACAGCTATTTTTCTAGTGATTTTATAACATATTTATGCTATAATTTTCGAATAAATTACATTTGCTCTACTCTGCATTGAGCACTGTTTTAAGAGTAGTATTTCTGGTTATTGGAATTTATTCCGTATATACCAATCCTATACTTAGAGATTATATATATATATATATATATATATATATATATATATATAATTGTGTATTTGCGCTGCAATCCCTCTTTTATACAAGTTTCGTCAAAAACATCTGACAAGTTACTGCGGTTAAGTTTTTTTATTTAATTTTTCTTGTTCTTATAATTTTTTTATCAATAACATCAAGTAGAAACATGACCGCAATGTGCTGACCGTGTTTGGAAAATAAAAAAAATTCTAGATACATAGATAAATAATCCATACATTCAGTTAAAAATAAAAAATAAAATAAAATCATTCTTGATAATAACTAAAAGAATACCCGAAAGCGTTCGGATATGCAGAACATTCGGACAATTTCTACATAATTTATGTCCAGAAAAGAAAAATAATTATAAGAACACAAAAATGAAATATAAAACTTAACCGCAGTACCTTGTCAGTCGTTTTTAACGAAACCTATATATAAGCATGCCATTTTGTACACATTACCAGCAGCATGTCTCTAGTTGTTCAGTATGTATTACAGATTTTCTTTCCTCAATGCAGCTCAGTTTCGATATCGTTGGCCTTAATCTTTCTATACAGCCATTTTGAATTCATGCAACTTCATTGATCTTTTTCTCTATAACTGGTATGTAGTCTGATAATTCAGTTCTGTTGATTTACATTTTTTATGATACATTTTCATGCTTGTAGCAAAGTGACATCACCCCAAACGTAATATCTACACTGAAAAATGTAAGATGATAATGATTATAAGATGATAGTGATGGAAAACTGAACATGGACAAAGAAAAGTACAAAGAAAGCGAACTTACTTTGAATGCCAAACGCAGTTCTTCTTTCTCGTGTTCGGATTTTTCGCTAAAACCACCAAAAGTTGCCATTGTGTCAACAAAATCTTCAAAGGTTAAGAATTCGTCACCTGTAAATATTCAGAAGAAAAATCGGTGTTATTAAATATATATATATATGTGTGTGTATATATATATATATATATATGTAGAGATAGAGAGAGAGAGACAGACAGACAGACACGTATATTATATAAATAGATAGATGTATGTAAAACAGATATTTTTGAATATTTGTTAATTAATTTTATTGCAAAACTTTTAAAGGTTTTTCCATGGGCAAAATCTGTCCGAAATTCTGAAACTGATTATTGTTATTTAACAATATTTTCCCCCGTTATTACTTTCCGCTTTGCTGGTTGGGGCCAAAAACCGTGCAAAATGGTAACCCCCACCAAAATTTGACAACTTTTTGATACCTGTGTCTATCATTTTGACTCTCGTACAAATCAAATTTTGCGTCCTGGGTAAGACAATAAACTACATCCAACAGCAAGGCCTCTAATCGGGAGCGTGGAATCACCCCTTAACTGCTAGTGTTCCCAAGACCACCCTGCCGCAGGGTGGTAGTTCCTGCTAGGGTCCCAGCTATGGGCAAATAGTTAACCCCAAAACACTATGCAAGTGTACCAGCAATACATTTTTGAGAGAGAAAAAATATTACCAGCAACAAAAATATTGTTGGCATTAAATAACCCATTGAAGTTGATATGTCGTAAAACAAACCAAACAAATTAAATTTGTCTACCCTTCCATTATTTATAAACACGACCGAATTCGACATTAAATAACCTGGAAAAGGTTGATATACCGTAAAACAAATCAAACCAATAATTATTATAGTTCCCTTCTTTACATTTTTACTAGTCGGCCATCTTGAAATGGCCATTGTGAAATATATATATATATACATGTTTTAGCTAAAAAATAAGGTATTCAGTTGCTCACATAGTGAAGGCTCCAGATTGCCACGAGAAAAAAATGTAATATGAATAATAGTCCCAGTATTTGACTGGATGAAAATCAAATGCATTTTTCATAAGCTTCATTTAGAAATACATAACCAGTGAAAAAAAAGGGAAATAAATTTGAACTCACCAGTAATGTTGTGGTCTTTAAGAACTTGTCGCAGTTCATCAGTGGAAGGGAAGTGTCCCAAACTGTGAATGATGGTACGCAACTCGTACACAGACACGGTGCCATCACCATTAATGTCAAGGAAGCGAAATGCTTCGCGAAGTTCTGTAAAAGTAAAAACAAATGAATAATAGAGAAAGAACGACGAATTCTAAAAGAAAAAGATTGTTTGCACAAGATTTGTACTGAATGACAAGTACAATATTAGCACAGCTTTGCAGCTAGAATACGCCATACTACTTTCGCACATACAAAGCACTCTAATTTCCCTTGTGTTCCAAATGTAAAGCGAAAGACAGCTTTCCCCAACCCCGAGAACTGTAGCTTAGATGTGGCACAACGCCAAATGTATGAAGCATTCCTACTTGGTGTTCCATACTTTGCACCCGCAGTAAATGGAAGAAGATAAGTAAACCGAATATATATATATATATATCCAGGTATGAGATAAGAACAAATTGAGTATAATTCCACTGTCTGTAGCATTTAATTTAAAAAAAAAAAGGGTTCAATATAGAGTAGAGCTTAATATTATTTCTTTAGTAAATTAAAACCAAAAAATACATGTTGAAAATCGCTACACAATAGTTTTCATGTTTCAACACTAAGTTTATCATATACTTGTATTCTGATTGGTCATCATAGGTTACGTAACAATGTTTCCTCCATTAGGGGAATTTTTGGTGGGTTTATGAACTCTTAAAATCATTTCCATTGAACATCATCACTTAAGAAAACACCAGAAGTGTCAAAACAAAATTGCAACTTTTGTAGTGATCATATAACATGCATATGTTATAAATTTGAATTTTTATTTATAAATTTGAATATATATATATATATATATATATATATGAATGGATTATTATCTGACATTATTTCTTTATTACAATTAACGTTATTTTTGTGGATACACGTATTTGAGTTGCTAGCCACGTTTTTCTTTTATTTTTTTAAACATTGAAATCAATAACAACCAGCCTAAATTGACAAACCAATCTGTCTTTTAGTAAAGCTTTTCAATTTAGTTCCGTTGTTATTAATTTCACTATTTAAAAAAAAAAAAAATAACAGGAATATCAACTCAAATACGTGTACTCACTATATATATATATATATATATATATATATATATATATATATATATATATAGAGAGAGAGAGAGAGAGAGAGAGAATCTAAATGGAATAATAATAATAAAAAACGAAAGAATATTAATCTACAACCCAGTGTGTCTAAAGATTTTAAATTTTTTATTTTCTTATTGTTCAATATATATATATATATATATATATATATATATATTAATTTTAAGGTATGCTATATTTATGGGTTAAAGTACTAAATATCAGGGATAGAGCGTATGTAAATATAAAAAGTGGACACTGAGGGGAACGCAATCACCAGTCCTGATTCTTGCATTCAAACATGAAACAGACTGTCGCCGTTTTTGTGTGTATATATATATATATATATATATATATATATATATATATATAGAGAGAGAGAGAGAGAGATAGACAAAGAGAGAGAGGGGGCAAGGAAACGGTAGCCGTTAGAATTTGAACTGAACAATCTATGATGTCTCTGTTGCCGTGTCTGTGGATAAACATTCTATCAACGAAGTGAGGGAAATCAGATGAAAAAACTCACCTTTCAATTCCTTTTCTGGATGTCTGTGGTTAACCTTGTTCTGTAAAAAAAAAAAACAAGAAAGAATTATAACCAAAGAAACAGATTTTGTACGATAGGTTTAGTTGAATCTAGTAACGAGAAATTCGTCTAAATTTTAGCAAAATCTCTTTGCTTCTATTATTATTGTTGTTGTTGTTATTGAAACACAGTAGCATGTCAATAAAGTGACGCTTGGACACAAATATAGGAAGCCCATTAGACCTGTCATGACAACCCAATCTGATAGAACTATACTCGGTACATGCATCACAGACAAACGTGCGCGATATGATGACAAGTTTTGATAAAAGCAACACATAACGTTGCCAACTAATAAATGCCTTCAGTTCAGATCAAACCGGTGATCACTGGTTAAATCTACTCCCAAGTATCTAGATGTAGCTCCCGAGTCGATTGACTGCCTCTTTCTTCAATCTTTAAGAAAAAGAAAAAAAAAACACGCCTCTCGACAGTGGGCCAGATGTTTCCCCGCTAATCCCGCTCATGAACAGATATGTACAGTGCGTCAACAACCTAGAGGACATGCTAAACTGGTTATTGTCAAGCTATTGACAAGAAAAATCGTAATACAGGTGGGGATATTTATGTCTTAATTCATAAAGACAAAATATGCACATGTTAATACCTCCAATCAATTCAGATGAGAAGTTCTGAGAGCCATTCCCGGTGTATTATTATTATTTACTTTGATTTCTGTTATATATACATTGCCTTCCCGGTTCCAACAAGAGACCTAAGGTCAGAAGTGGCTTAATGACATTTTCCAATGATCATTTTAGCAGTTAGTAGTAGTAGTAGTAGTAGTAGTAGTTCCTTCCTGGTCCCAACCAGTGATCTAAGGTCAGAAATGGCATCATGGTATTTTCCACTGAACAAGTCAAAAAATAAATAAATAAATAAATAAAAAATAACACATTTTACATAAAGCCCTTCGTAAGGTGTGGGCTCTGATCGTGGGAACATTTTTTTTTTTGTATTTCTTTAAGGAATGGGCTATCAGAAATCCCTTCAATAGGTTTATTGGGATCTTTTCCAATAAATCCGAGGGCTTCAACTACAACTAGAATTGTTGATGTTCTCATGTGACACATTTTTGAGATTTCGATTCTTTTTATTATTATTATTAGTAGTAGTAGCAGCAGCAGGAGTAATAGTCTGTATCGTATCATCTTGCTAGAGAGCAATTTTAAATTCCTTATTACCAAGTCTCCTCCGGGATCTTTGAGTAAAAAGGGCGCACATTTGGGACGTTTCGTTTAGATGTAAAGGGCTTTGCGGATGAAATATTCAGTTCCGCACAAAGTAATCTTTTGTAGCTCTGAGATGTTGATGTGTTCAGAAATTTTACTCTCATGATTTTCAACACCATTCTTTATCATTCTCAATGCCCCTATCACGACACAGGCCAGATACCAAGTAAACGCTCAGATACAAACAACCAGTATTTACCTATTCCCAAATCCAGAAACTATTTATAGACGCCGATATAGTTAAAAAAAAAAAAAAAAAAAAAAAAAGAAAAAGAGAGACAAACTGGCCTTGACATTAACCTTTTAGTATCAGAAAAGGGTTGCAAAATTTGGCGAAAATCAGTACAAATTGTATTTTAACACGATAAGTACATATTGTATTTTAGTCTCTTCCGTATATATTATCGATAAAAAATAAAATAATCAAAACTAACGATCGTCTGATATTAAAAAAAGAAGAAAACATATCTTAAAATATGTTCCACTCGTTGAAAAGTTGACCCTAAAAGGTTTTAACCTTTTAGGGCTAACTCGTTAAAGCTTAAAATGTCTAAAATCAATAAACTCAATAATTTTGGTGCACTGGAGCGAGACAGATCTCCAAGAATCTGGCTTATATTCTTTACAACGATTCCTGGTCATGATTAACCAGAGATTAGACAAAAATACCTTTTTGTTTTGTTTGTTTGGAACACCCATGTAATAACCCAAAATAGTGAGCCACATTAATTTCATTAGTGCGCATGTGCGGGCATTCGTAAACGAGTGTATGTTTATGCCATGTGTAAACTTACAAAAGTCACATTTGTCGCGCATCTCTGTGCCAACGTCGGTCTTTGCACCCTCTTTTGTGCGTTCTTGCTGGAGGCGGGAGAGTGAAATACGTACTGGGGAAAACAAAAGGAAAGACATCCTTAATGACATATGTGAAATATATTTAGATTGATGTAAGTATTGTATTTAATGGTATGTAAGATCCCACTTTTTCCTCCCAACAAAATGGCTAAAAATGATAACCTTCCGGGTTTTATATGCGAAATTGACGCATCTAGTAGGCTAATGTCTACACAGATGCCATACAGAATTTGTACCTAGCATAACAACGTAATACTGCAATATTAAATATAAAGGTGCATTCGCCATTGGTCTGCATAATATACCATCAAATACAGGAGACAACGAAGAGATGCTTCGTACGATCACCGAAGTTAAGCAACATCGAGCCTGGTCAGTACTTCGATGGTGACTGCCTGTCAATACCAGGTGCTGTAACCTTGGATGTGTGAGTGGTGTAATGGATAATGGCTCGGAATTGTTAATCTTGGTAAAGATATGAATCCATCTCTCCCCACTCACAGCTACGAAGTAATTAGTAAAACTAGTATCGCTAAATCATTATTATCTCAAAAAAATAATTCTTACAGTCTAAAAATATTTTCTGGCTTTAAATAAGCGATAACATTATGCACTAACAATCTATAAATGAGTATATATATATATATATATATATATATATATATATATATATTACTACATTGACATTTTTGCCATTTAAAGCAATAATAATGCAAGGATCATACAGCTATGGTTAAATAGTAGAGTGTACTGATATTTCTAGCATTGAATGGTAAGCATACTTGGAGAAGGAATACTCTGAATTCGAAATGGTGGAGTAGGAAGTAATATTACTATATTTCCCAAGAAGCCGTGAAAATTCACAGATAATAAAGAAAAGGAACTTGTGGAGAGCCATGATCGCCTACATTCTGAAGAAACATGGGATTAAAATATATATGCATGGCCCTATACAATCGGACAGCGATTAGCAAGGTAGATTATTAGAATGGAATTCTGTCCTCACTGTGCTAAACTATTATATCCATGTGACACACTAGGCCAATATCTGAATGCCCCACCCCCACATATTCACAAAAGCATACAAAAATAAATAGAGAAATGACTATGAACTACAGTTGTACAAGAACTAAAACGAACATAGCAAATATATGTAGAAAAATATATTCGTGCACGTATATATAGGGTATCATGGAGAAGTAAGAACATTTTATTGAGGTGAGAACCTGCCTGCTTTGAAAATCAGCATTGGAAATCCAGGCTTCCATCTTGGCTCGATCGTTGAATGCGCAACAACCTCATCTGCTAAGCAAGTTTTTATATCATAGGTGTGTGAAACTACATGCACGTAAGATCGTTTATCAGTTTATTTCTAGATATTTAGTAAACTTATCGGAACGTGGTCTTGCATAGGAAAATCCTGTAACACCCAGTGAGGATCGAATGGCGCCTGGGAGAGTAGACAAACATTGTTTTACTTCATGTACACGTATCAGTATCGATGTAATCTAACGAGCATTAGTATTTATGCGAAAAGGTAAAAAATATTGTTCACCTCACATTTATCATTTCAGTGCCCATGAAATTTTGCATAAGACATAGTTAAGCTCTAAATGCAGAGAAACTAAGATGGCTTATTCGGATTACCTAAATCTGAATTAACGATTTAACGATTTTATTTAAGGGTCGTTAAAGTAAATTTGGTGGGGAGCTTATTTGCTATCAAATGTAGAAGGCGACTAAAGACAACATTCAATAGGTACTTAACATCTTATACTAATTAGATTTAGTTTAGTCTGAGAAAAGTCACAATATTTGGGTACTCAGTGAAAATCAAAGTTAAGAGCAATCGTGTATGTGGTTTAAATGCTCAGTGGCAAAAAGGATAAAAAATAGCAGCAACTGCCTGCTTTTATATCAGATAGATAGATAGATAGATTGATAGATAGATAGATAAGCTTTGAGTGAAAGAAGCCTGTGGGTTTTAGCGAAGACCACACTTCTTCGAAACTCGTGGACTGGCGCTACAGAATCACAAACAAAGGACTGTACCAGATAACAGAAACAGCATTACTTGAGGACTTTCAACAACAGTACAAACTAAAGTGGCTATCACATGTAATTCGAAGAGAAAATACTGACATAAGATGTTGACGTTTAACACTACTTCGAACAAAAGGTTAGGAAGAAAACCCTAATCAATAAACTAAGAACAATAATAATTAGTGGACTTGAAAAACACATTTTCCTGAAAAACTAGATTAATTCTAAAAACCTTTAAAACTTTAAGCGAAGGTAGTGCGGTCAATGAATGTCGAATGTTTCGTTATAATGAAACAGCTAATATTATATATATATATATATATATATATATATATATATATATATATATATATATATATATATATATATATATATATATATATATATAAAAAAGATGAAAAACTGTTCTTAGCTGACGCGTTCTATCTTCTAACGGACTTTATTGAGGGAAATGACTATGCAACTACTGGTTAGATAATTAACTGTAATCAGGGCAAATGACTATGTAACTAAATTTGCCTTGATAAAGTCCCCCGTCGCCTAAGAATAGTTTTTCCTCTTGTCTTTTTATTCAGTTTGTCCCTTTACAGATACACTATCTGAAAATAATATATATATATATATATATATATATATATATATATATATATATATATAATGCGATGTCAGTCGTTATCTAATGTTGTTAATATTATATTGGTCCCTCTCCTTAATATTGTTTCTCTTTTTTTCTTATTCTTTCACTCAGTAACCCCTTGTGTCTTAGTGGCTATATTGATTTGCATAGGGTGATATGATTATGTATATATATATATATATATATATATATATATATATATATATATATATATGTGTGTGTGTGTGTGTGTGTGTGTGTGTGTGGAAAAAAGGTGTGTGTGTGTGTATGTGAATGTAGGAATCAACACTATATAGTGCCAGTTAGTTTCACGTTTCAATATGTCTATCTATAAACGCTCTATTTCGGATATCGAGTACTCTTTCCATATAAATATGCCAAATTTTAACACATTCTCTCACGCAAGCACACAAACACAATACGTTTTTTATGTTTGTGGGTCTATCTATTACTTTATCGACTGTGAGAGCTGAAGTGTGGAGGAGGCGTAATGGTTAACAGCAATGCAAATGGAATCGGCGAAATGAGTTCGAAATAATGTTCGCTTCGCATTCATGCAAATCTGAAAGGCATGCATTTCTCTTACCCAATAGACAGGTTAGGGAATGTTGAATGTTGCTTGGAATGGAGATAGGCATCGTTAAGAAATCTTTCTTATGTTGAGAACTGCCATGAATATCCAAGTATCCTGTCGATTTACTATGTCCTGGTATATTAGAAACTGTCTATGAGTGAGGCATATGTGTGTCAATGTGTATTAGCTTTGTTCAAATAACAAGGGAAAAACATAAGAAAAATATAATCAAGTGATCAAGTAATGGAAAACAAAGGTAAAAGTTAAGCTTCATTGAAATCAGCAAAAACACAATAATAATTCGAAAATCGTTATTTACTAAGATACCTGACACTTAAACTTTAGCGGGGAAAATATGAACAAGAAAAGCGATGTTGGGGTGGGGGCAAGAAAAAAAGAAAGAAGGAAAAAGAAAAGCGACACCGCACCTCGACCTTTACTTGGGGGATGCCTGGTTCTGATTGTCGTCCAGAGCGTGACTCTTTTAGTGCTGCAATTCGGTCCAAGCATAGATGAACGTGGCGCAGGATTCCAGAACAACAGGAAGTCAAACATTGCAGAAAAAGAAACACATGGTCCAGAATGGAACCCATTCATCAAATCCGGCTATTTGTAGTAGTAATAGTAGTAGTAGTAGTAGTAATAGTAGTGTCGATGATAGTGGAAAAGCTATCCTTTGACAAAGCAGCTGACTGTGTCCGCATTATTGATACGGATGATACCCAATTGATATAATTTTGTTGAAAAACTTTTTAAGAATGCATGAGCGAGTCCCGATATGAAGTCATAGCGAGAGTGGAAAATGTAAACAATATTATTCCGTTAATAAAAGTCGCCACTGGAAATTATACAGATGGAGAAACTATGTATGAAAAAAGCTTCGGAAGATGCCCCCCCAAAAATTCAAAATTGAGAAGAACAAATTTTACCAATATTTTTTTTTAAGTATTCACATTAAAAATTGTTCTGCTCGTTGCAATATAATAAAGGAACATCTCTTATCTCTCGATGTACGAACAACAACAACAAAATATTGTCTATAGTCGTTATTTCAAATTTTGTTCATCAGTCCTCGTTAGGAGAATAGGAGCTGAACACGGTCGAATACTAATTTCATGGCAGGTCTTAAAACTTTATGGTTTCGCATTGCTATTTGGTGGGTCTACCGCAATTGCTGCCGCAGAGCGATGACTCTCAACCACACCACAATACCGGTCACACCGGTAAACGAACGAAGTGTGCCCTTCACTCGTTCTGGCAAAATCAGGGAGGAGCAGGAAACTCTCTGAAAGCTGAAAAAAAAAAAAAAAAAAAGGGAAGAAAATAGAAAAAGGAAAAAAAAAGAAAAACAGCGAGAAAGATGGAAAGAGAGAAAGACAGAAAGAAAACGGAAGGCCTATCAGCTTACAAGAGAACAAAAAAAGAACAAAAACAAAAACACTTTCCCGCCTTCTTTTCTCGGCACTTGTGTAGATACGTATGCATATTCCCATTCATGTATGCACCTGTGTGTGTGCATGTGTGTGAGTGAGTGCGCGCACGTACGAGAAAGAAAGAGCGAAGAAGTTGACACGTACGTACATTGATAGTTTCAAATTACCCTTAAGCTAAATTATGAATGGACCCCAAGTGGGTGTTGCCGTTATCTTTCTGTAAAATCTAGCGAACAGATTTCAATAGTTTGTACTTGTTTTTCTTGTGAGATTATAAATATAGTTTCTTCCTTTCGATTTGCTGGTAAAAACAAATTGGCCATTAGTATTAAATATTGTTGACCATAGATGTTTTAATGGTAAAGATGGCTGCGAATTGAGGAAGTCGAAAAAGAAGGATTTCTGAAGAGAGAATCAAAAAAAAAAAATGAATGAAATACCACCACAGACCTCATTCTCTATTTAGATCCTTGGTTCCCAACGTGGGGCACACACTCCCACGGAGGAACGGGGCAATTTAATTTTTAAGGGTGGAATTTCGAGAATGAGTTAATAACAGTGAATAATTTTTTTCTAGTGTGAGTGTGGATGTGCGTGAGTTAATACATACGATGCATATACAGTATTCATGCATAAAAATTGTGTGTATATATGAAATAAAAATAATGCAACTCGTATTCGAGAATACCCGTCTACTAGGGCGGCTAGACAATCCCTGTTGCAGACGCTCGCTCAGGCACATTTGTGTTTGCTCAACGCCCACAGAGCCAACCCGTGGTTTTTACTGCAACTATGCTGAGCAGACCTTCGTTACAGTTTCTGAGAGAGAACATGATATCTTGCGTGATGAACAGCTTGAACAAGGACAGCACGACTTGTGGCTTCGTGCTAGCACAACTATCGACGGCCCCCAAGAGTTCCGTCTACCCGCACTTACACTCACAAGGCTTGGGTCAACCCGTGGTATGGTTTTTAGGCACTTTCCAAAGGTTCCGCACGCTGATATCGATCCCGATCCAGTTCGATAACATATACATATATTATATAAGTAATACAATATTTTATAATTATTGGAAAATTCTAAAATTGAATGATAATACCAGTGCATATATGCAGTTCCAAATTCTTAAGAAAAGTTCCTCCACGTGAATAGGAGTTCACTTTTTGAATAATAAGAATTATATGACACAGTGATGGAGGGAGGGGGCATCAGGATTTTGGGGATTCTTAGGTGAGGCATGGGCAAAAAAATGGTTGGGAATCACATATTTAAATTCGATATACAGTGGAACCTCGGCTCACGAATTTAATTCGTTCCTGAAGGCCGTTCTTAACCCGAAATGTTCGTAAACCGAAACTGTTTTTCCAATAGGAATCAATGTAGAGAAAAAAAGTCACAGAACAATAAAATTGGAAAAGAAAAGCACGCCACAAGACAAAAATGTATACAACACGGCGATCGACTCAGAAATTATTCCGTTCGGCAATGTTGTTCGAGATCCGAAATTTTGTTCGATAACCGAGACATTTTCATCTCGAATTTTCTGTTCGAAAACTGATTTGTTCGACATGTCAGACGTTTGAGAACCAAGGTTGCAATGTATTTCTTCTCTTAAACCTGTATTTTTAAAAACAACTGACATTTTGTGTATTATATTTAATGGTCTTTTTTCTCGTGTACGAATAGACAACATTTGAGAAAGAGTATTGACACATCTGAAAAGACTATCATATTATAGACTTATATAGTTATAAAATTTACTTTCTTGAAATCATTAATTTTCATATGTAAATCACCCACCGAAAGTCCTTTGTTAAGTGTAGACCTTCCGCAAATCTTTCCCTTTGCAGTTCAGGAGAAGGAATGAGCTAATATCTTACCTCGCCGGCCCAATGCGTGTTAGTAGTTACAACACCTGGCATTCAGGTTCAACAGTACTTCACTTAGTTAATCGGGTTGCGAACTGGTCTTTCGATGTGATATGATCGTAAACCTTTATAATTTTTAAGTACATCTATATATAAATCGTTATGTAAAAATAAATAAATAAATAAATAAACATGAATTATCAGAATCTGCAGACTCTTTCCCTCGATTTATATAATTATTTAGATATAATCGAGCTGTTTTCATTCTGCCCGTTTATATAATTGTCATGTGTGGATATTAATTCTATCTTTCCTTTCATTGCTCATTGTGGTTACTGCACACAGACTTAGTTTCCGATAAGATCTAGTGTTCGATTTTTGTTGATAGCGATCTCTTCACTATTATTAGAGCGTGTAAGTGAATATGTTTACATACGCTATCTTGTGTATTAGAACTAGACAATTCCCTTTTGAGAAAAAGATTGTTTTTCATCGCCTTTAGCAAAGAAAAAGGCAGTCAAGCATACTTGCATGTGTTTGTTTCAGAATGGTAAGAGACAGAAAGAATGACTAAAGTTATACATCGACTGGTTCACGTTTTGTCTTTTTATTACAAGTTACTAATTCCGGCTTACAGCAACATACCGTTGAAACACCGTACGATCATAGAAGTTAAGCAACGTCGAGTCTGGTCACTACCTAGATGGGTGACCACGTGGGAATACCAGCTGCTATAAGCTTGGATGTGCGGGCGGTGTAATGGATAATGGCTCGGAATTCTTAATCCGAGAGCAGAGTTCCAATTCCCGTTGGGTTCGTTATATTCACTTACGCGCGAATGCTCTTTCTCCTCCCAAACTATGGGTTAATTAGTAAGATTTGTATCACTAAATCAATATCATATCCAAAGAAAAAAAAATCTTACAATCTAAAAATATTTTCTGGCTTTAAGCTGTAAAATCGAACCAATCAACAAATCAAATCCTGGGTTAATCTGCTGCATTCACTTTCACCCAAAGGCCGTTGGGAAAGGTATGAATCTGACTTCTCTTCTTTGCTAGGAGTTGAATAGCTACGTAGAGTGGGCTCACTGGCTCTAAATGGCAACCAATCTAAGAGAATGAAAACTCCAAAACCATGGAGAATTCCAAATCATGGAAAACTAATTTATTATATCCACAAGAATGCATGTCAATTCGCAGATAAATAAAGAAAAGGAATCTGTGGAGAGTCATAATCACTTTTGTCCTGAAGAGACATGATAAACTGATTGATTGATTTGTTTTTACGGCTTATCAACCCTTTGTAGGTTATTTAAAGCCGAAACATATTTTGGATTGTAAGAATAGTCCTTATTTTTATTTATTTATTTTGCGAATGAATATTGCAATTAACAATTTGGAGGGGAAAAATAATCATTTTTTTCCAGATAAAATATCTATTTTTTAAACCATATTTGGGGGAGAAGAGTGTTTGTGCGTAAGTGAATGTAGCGAACATGACTGGAATTCGAACTCGGCTCTGCCGATTTCTAATTCCGAACCACTATCCATAACACCACCTCACATCCTCCTGAAGCGATATCGCATTAAAAAGTGTTCAGTGCAAAACACTTTAAACGAAAGATTACTTAAATGCTTAACCAGATTTGATTTCACTGAGGCAGTTCGAGGTACGTCGATCAGTTTTTTTTTTCCAGTAAGTTAATTTGCGTCTTATTTATTTGTATCTTCACTAATGTGAAATGTAATACATTTAATGCAATGATTATTTATGTGTCTAGGTGACATGGAAGCGACACCAGGTATATGGTATTATTTTTCCCAGTATTTATTTATTTATGTTTATAGTATTTCTAAACTATAAACTCTATAAAACAACATTCTTAGGTCAAATGTCTTCAATTGAATGAGTCCTGTACTGCATTTCGTTGGATCCCATAGGCTGGCGCTACAGAATCACGGACAAAAAAAATTACCAAATAACAAAGCCCACATCACTTGAAAACTTCCAAAAACGGCAACAACTAAAATGGATAGTACATGTAACTCGAAGAGAAAATAAGGACATAATTAAGATTTTGATTTTCTACACTACCTTAAACAGGAGGTTAGGAAGGAAACCTCCATTAGTACTAGAAAGAGCCATAACAGCTCATGGACTTGAGAAAATCATTTTCCTGAAAAACTGCTTTAAGAGAATGATTTCATAAATTTCAATTTACGCTAACTGATCGGTCAATGAATGCTGAATATTTCTTGGATAATTTATCATTATCATCTAAACTTCTG